AGTCAGGGTACAGGTAGGTAGGGTCCTGGGGGGCAGTTAGGATGTGGGGAAGGTCTCAGGAGGGGGCAGTCAGGGGACAAGAGGCAGGGAGGCTTAGGGAGGGGGTGGAGTCCTGGGGGGCAGTCAGGGGACAAGGAGTGGGGGGAGGGTTGGAGGTTCTGAGGGGGCAGGAAGTGGGAGGGAGTGGAAGGGGCAGGGGCGGGGCTAGGACAGGACGGGGGCGGGGCTAGGACAGGATGGGGGCGGGGCTAGGGCGGGGCTCCTCCCGTCCTCTTTTTTGATTGTTGAAATATGGTAACCCTAATGAGGAGCAACAGAGAGGGACAGGAATTTAGATCTTAGTGGATCATTTTCAGAGTAAATGTATGGTTTAGAGCATGACAAACTCCAGTGAGACATGAGGAACATTTTTCTATTAAGAATAAGGAGAAATAGAGAAGTAAAGTAGAAAATACTTTAAAGGGCAAAATACATTACATACAATTGATGGGCAAAATGACCCATCCAGCACATGTGAAAGTTTAGCCCAGCGGTTCTCAAACTTCATTGCACCTCAATCCGCTTCTGACAACAAAAATGACTACATGACCCCAAGAAGGGGGACTGAAGCCTGAGATCAAGCAGGGGGGTCTGAAGCCAAAGACTGAAGACTTCGGGGCTGTAACTTGAGCCCTGCCGCCCTCAGGCTTCGGCTTCAGTCCCGGGCAGCGGGGCTCGGGATTCAGCTTCAGCCCTGGGTCCCAACAACGCTAGCCCTGGCAACCCCATTCAAACAGGGTCCTGACTCACTTTGGGTCCCAACCCACGGTTTGAGTACTTCTGAGCCCAATGAAGTCTAGTGTTCCAAATATACTTTACTATTAGTGAAAAAGTTTGATCCATTGTAAAGAAATTAAATATATAGGATACTTTGGACTGGAGGCCTAATCTCTTTAAGCAGCTTGCTAGTGAACTACTGTAGTGCTCAGACAGACTAACAGTGCAATCTCCATTCACTAAATTCAGACTAATTCACCAGTAAGAGCACATACTGTTCCCATTTTTCTGCAAACAGATTAACGGATAATCTAGGTCATGTGTTTGATAGTAGAAGTCTGAAGACACCCACATGTGGTCAGTTGGAGATGGTGTGGGAGATTCTATTCCCAGCACTGTCAAGAATTTCCGGTATGATCTTGAGCAAGTCACTTAACTTCCCAGTGCTTCACTTTCTCATACTGTGTAATAAGATTAATGATACCCACCTTTGTGAAGTGCTTTGAGATCTATAGATGAAAAGCACTACATAGAGAGATCTAATATTATTTAAGTATGAAGTGCCAATTACTATTTTATCTTGTTCTGAAATTGCAACAGTCAATACAATTTCAATCCATTCTCAAGTGTAACTGAATAAAGCAAATAAGTCTTATCCACAACTAATTTTTTATCTTCATATTTCTCAATCTGCTACTTTACCTGATGTGATCTATGAACAGTTCTTACATTTCACTGATCAAATGTGTTTTCTAGCCTATCAATCCTCTTATAACATAATGAAATGTAAATATTTTCTGCATCAATCATTCATGTAAACCATAATTTGAACTTCAAAAGATGGCATGCAAGCCACTTTTAAGATTTAATCACTTCCATGCTGACTGACAGGCTAGCTGCCTTCAGCAGACGTATTTGTCCATTGCTACTGATATACCTGATATGTCCAGAAATTCCTTTTCATTTGTGGTTTACTAGAATTTTTCAACAAAAAGTAATACATGTTCTAGCATGACAAAGGATGGCTCTGAAATTACTATGCAATGTGTAGGCTGCTACTTATTAGAGAGTACTAGGGAGAGTATATGATAGTGGTTCTATACAATACAGAATGAGAGACATAACTGGTGAATTCATTTTACTTAGCTTTACTGTAAGAGTGAAGTGATGGGAAATTTATTATTGCACTACCATTCTCACTAAGATAGTTAATGATCCGTCGGGATCGCCTTAATAAATCTCTCTTTCAGGGGTTGATTACTGTAACAATAATTCACTCCAGAATGAAACTTGCATATTTGATCATTGCCCGGAAACGTAAATGCTTTACCAATTTTGAAAAATAAAATTGTTTTTACTTTGGACTTTTATCTCTTTGTAAAGACCCAGCATGGTCTTTACTCTCTGATCAAAAGATTTCTCTACGTATGATTTTAATTTCTCCCTTGTACGTCTATTGAAACTAGGGTGGGTACGCTTATGATTTTATGTAGCATCAGAAAACTGCATTGATGAGGAAGAATTCTGGTTCACTGGTGTTTCTCTCTCTCTCTTCATATGTGCTCCTTGAAGGAAGAATATTATTCCTGGTCAATAATAAGTAATACTGCAGAAATCTGAGCTGAGTCTGATGGCACCCTGCAACATATATATGGTAATGTCTCTGCAGGGGGTTGGATTTTTGAAATTTTTTGAGTCAGTCCCTCCCCCCCACCCACCCACACACTTCCCCCCCCCCCCCTGCAATCCTCTCCACGTTTTTCAACCAGATCTACTCATAAGGATTTGGTTTCACAGTGTAACAGGTAGAGATGATCAAATTATTACTTGTGAGTTGTATGTCTGATAAAGTAAGCACTTTTTCTTTTGCAAATTATATTTAGGAAGTAATTTGTGAGAATATATTTGAGACTATGTTTTCTTCACAAACTGGCCAGAGTATCCACACCGTCTGATTGGTCACCTGAGCCACAGGGCATTGTTTCTTTTCCCTGTTTAGATGACCCAAGCTTTATGGTCAGAAAAAAAAATCTTTTTATACATTTTCCGATTATTAGCAAATATTCTTTATTGTTCCAGAAATTAGCTTTCAAAGAGTACAGAAGTTTTCAAAAAGACCATGAAAGCACTTGAGGTGCAAATACTTTTGTGATTATTTATTTATGTAGTATTGACAATGCTTTTAGATTCTGCAAACATTCTGGCAAAAAAAAAAAAAAAGAGAATTGCTCTCTAAGTGTTCATTAATAAGTAATTAAAGAAGGGTCTCAAATACCAACAGAACTATGTGCTTTATTTATTAGAATATTATGTGTTAGTTTTTTGCTCCATTCCCCCTTTTATAATGTGTTATCAGTGCAACCAGTAAGCTTGCCACCTCCTCCAAAAAGTCTTGGGAAGCCTTTGTATCATAGCCATCATTTTACTTATGATATTGTGAATGGAACATTGTTTTACTGTTACTTTGTTGTAACTCTGTTATGGATAGTTATTTAAAGAGATCACTAAACCTATATGGCCTTATTATAGAAATATGTTTTGCTTATGACCTCTAGTGGCGGGAGAGGAGCTGTGCATGAAATTACTTGAAATACATACACTTGAAAAAAGAAAGTTATAAAATCTTGCCACAACATAGTTTCAACATAGTCCAAGTTAGAATAAAGTTCAGCCATGAATGGATTTTAACCATGCATTGCATTTACCCTAAAATAGACTTAATCTGATGTAATTATCTATTACATTAAGATAGGTTTCAGAGTAGCAGCCGTGTTAATCTGTATCCGCAAAAAGAACAGGAGTACTTGTGGCACCTTAGAGACTAACAAATTTATTAGAGCATAAGCTTTCGTGGGCTACAGCCCACTTCTTCGGATGCATATGATATGCATGTGATATGCATCCGAAGAAGTGGCTGTAGCCCACGAAAGCTTATGCTCTAATAAATTTGTTAGTCTCTAAGGTGCCACAAGTACTCCTGTTCTTTTTACATTAAGTTAGCCATTCAAATAATGTGATAGCTATAGACATATGTAGGGACATGCTGTTAATTCATGCGTGTAAGCAATGTGGTGATGGTGCTGCCTAAAACAGTCGCACGTTGGTTGGGAAAGAGCCCCTTAAACAACTGAACCTGTTAAAAAAATAAATAAAAATAGGCTTGTTATTTCTACTCGTACAAATAAACTAAATTCTGAGATGGACCCGATGTTTTATTCTCTGTACAAGAGTGCTGAGTCTCACGCCATTGATCAGACATGATAGAAGGGAGTTTGAAATGTCAGGACCCGAACCAATCACAAGGAGCTTTCAAAGCTGTTAGTAACTGGTCCACAGATGTTCTACAAGTCTCCTGGGCTCCACAACTGCCAAGAGTGGCTTATGTATTCTGTGGGAGAGAAGCACCCCTTCTCAAACAGCCTAACACGCTCTACCCACACAGATCTGCATATGAGAAGTAGGGTCATTGAAATGACATCAGGAAGCTGTAGCACAACTACAAATACTATATGCACTACACCAGCACATTCCTATGACAAAAACTATCAGCTCAAGTAGGACCTCAAGCCTCCAGAGCACTTAAAACACACATTTTACTTTAAGTTCATGAATAGTTCCATTGAAGTCAATGGGATTCCTTGTGTGTTTAAAGTTAAGCATGTGCTTAAGTGCTTTGCAAGTTCCAATCCAGACTTAGTATTGCAGTAATGAGGCTAGAAAGTTTTTTTTTAAAAAAAAAACCTTTGTATTTTGTATATTTTCCCTATTCTAAAAAAAGACGGTACTATCAATACAATATGGCATATTTATAATGTTATATTTGTAGTAATAGGATTTTCATATATTTTTCCAGTCTGTGAATTTAGGGAATATGATATTTATTCTGAGGCTAAGTACCTAATATTCATAAGGGGGGAGGGGGAAAGACTTCTTCACAAATGGGTGGAAGTAAGGTCTGCATTACATTTAATATGATTTGTTCCAAATCGTTCACCTCTTCAATCACTTTTACTGTTGTACTTTTATTACTGTGTAGGCCCTACCTGAGATCAAGCCCCATTGTGCTAAGTGTGGTATGTTAACATAGTAAAAGACAATCAAAGTGCTTTCAATCCACATAGACAGGACAGAAAGGGTAGGAAAAAGGAAATAATATCCATAATTTACAGATAGGGAACTGAGGCACAACAAAATTAAAATTTGCTCAAGCACACAGAGAGCTAGGAATTGAATCTGTATCTGCTGAGGTTCAGTTTAGTGCCTTAAACACGAGACCATCCTTCCCTGTTCTAGCTGTCCAATTCTCACTCTATTTTTTAGTTACCTCTTTTCCAATAGCCCTTCTTGAATCTGAGTGAGGTAAAGGAGGAGGAAAAAGGAATCAGAAGACATAAGCCTACTAGTGCACCTCCCTCCCTTACTAATGTTCTAAGATCTTTAGGATAATTACGCAGAAAAATGAATGGAGGAGTACTTGTGGCACCTTAGAGACTAACAAATTTATTAGAGCATAAGCTTTCATGGGCTAAAACCCACTTCATCGGATGCATTCAGTGGAAAATACAGTAGGAAGATACACACACTCACACACACAGACAGAGAGAGAGAGAACATGAAAAAATGGGTGTTGCCATACCAACTATAATGAGACTAATCAATTAAGGTGAGCTATCATCAGCAGGAGGAAAAAAAACTTTTGTAGTGATAATCAGGATGGCCCACTTCCAACAGTTGACAAGAAGGTGTGTGTAACAGTAGGGAAAAAATTAGCATGGGGAAATAGTTTTTACTTTGTGTAATGACCCATCCACTCCCAGTCTTTATTCAAGCCTAACTTAATGGTGTCCAGTTTGCAAATTAATTCCAATTGTGCAGTTTCTCGTTGGAGTCTGTTTTTGAAGTTTTTTTGTTGGTTTTCCATGGTCCCCCAGAGCATGTGTCTGGTCTCTGCTTATCATTATTTTGTCACAGTTCTCTCTCAGATGCTTTATAAATACATATTCCATGCTTGTACATTTAAATTATCCACTGGTGCTCAGTACGGAGACATGCATTTGAAAGGCAGGCTCTTCTTCCTGTTGTTAGACAGATGTCACAATGTCCAGTAAAGTGAAATAACAGAGTGTGGCACTTCAGGTACAACGGCACATTGCCATGGTAACCGGTTTATGTTGCAGTACCGCCAAGAGCCCTTTGGGGGGAATCTCTGTTGAACCAAGCAACACACATTAGTGCTTTCATACACCACAGGTGATACACACAAGTCAGAGAAGTCATTTTGAATTGAATATGGGGAAAATACAGGACATTTCTGAAGCTTGAAAACTGGCCCAAGGCTTGGCAATGCTGAAAGGGTAACATCATTGGGGAGCATCAGGCTTTGCAGACATATCAGACGATAAGAGGCCTTTTTCTAAGCTACACCAGCAGAAGTTCAGAGTAAATTCACTGACTCCTGCCCCTTCTCTAGTACTGACAACATAAACTATGTTGATATGATGCCAGGAGGCCAGACTTGCTATTCTGCTATGCCTTCTCACTGCTCTCTGCATAGCAGCAGCTGCTGTGTGCATGGTGCACAGACTAATAAGGTCCCTGGCAGGACAGGTTCAGTGACACCAGAGGAGCTCCAAAGGTGCTGTTAGATCACTGCCATGACTAAATTATACCACTAAGGGTGTGTCTACACTGCATCCTTCTTTTGGCAGTGTGTGGTGTGCATACCTATATAGTCCCACTAGTACCCGTTAAAATAGCCGTGTAGACAGTGACGCCTGGCTTAGGTGAGGAAAGACATGCCTAAAGGGAGTGGGCACTCAAGTACATACCCTACAGGGCTGTCTCCGTGCACAAGCTGTGTATTACCATCTCCGCTGCTAGTTTTAAACAGTGTAGTGTCCCACTGCCTCCTCTGCTGGAGCCCTTCCCCGCCGCAGGGAAAAGCTTCAGAGTGGGGAAAAGCTCAGCCTTCCCCTGCTGCCTCCACCCCCCAGAGTCTTTCCTTGCCACAGTGAAAGGGTCTGTCAGCAGTGAGCTGCTGAAGCCTTTCTCCGTTGTTTCCCCTCTGCCAGAGCCTTTCACTGACACGTGTAGCTACACACCAGTAAAAAGAACAGGAGTACTTGTGGCACCTTAGAGACTAACAAATTTATTAGAGCATAAGCTTTCGTGGACTACAGCCCACTTCTTCGGATGCATATAGAGTGGAATAAATATTGAGGAGATATATATACGCACATACAGAGAGCATAAACAGGTGGGAGTTGTCTTACCAACTCTGAGAGGCCAATTATTTATTTATTACACACCAGTGTGGATTCAGCCTGCTTTTCACTGCAGCACATAGCTACACATACACTACACACCATGGTGGCAGCATGCAGTGTAAGATGTAGCCTAATGGGGCTGGTTGTGTTGTGTTTGGTTTTACTTTCCTCTTGACTTGCACGAGGAGGGGGCAACAAGCCATGAGATATACAGGACAGGTGGAGGTAGCAAAAACCTAAAGACCATTCAAATGTTAGGCATGCAACAGACAGAAGCACGAGAAAGACAAGCCTGGACAAAAAGGAGGAAGAGGGTGCCGAAACAGGAGAACAGGAAGAGGAGAGTGCTTTGCCCAATACAAAGTTATTGCGTTGTTTTGACATGTATTTTTACTATTATAATGCACAGCTTACAGCTAATAAATTTTATCACTCTATTTGTTGTTTTAATTTAGATGCAATATATGGGTCCAAAGAGTCAAAAGTTAGTTAATGTGACTAAACAGTGTTAAACATGGTTTGGGGATTGGTATACAGAGACCTCAGCCACAGGCAAACACCACTAAACATCTTTTTAACCTTTATTAAAGATAAAGGAAAAATAATTAAAAAGCATTTGAAATGTAAGCTTTACTAAGTAAGGCTTTCTTTTTAACTCTTCTTCCCTTTTCCTCTAACTGGAGAGAGTTATTTAAAAGACCCCTTGTCCCCTTGTCTGACAGTCTTTAGATGGTACTTGTGACAGATAGGGCAATTTCCCGCAATATCTATGGAAGATCTTCTTGAATTAAGTTTAAGTATCTTTGAGGTCCACTGTATTAAATGACAGATTTCAGAGTAGCAGCCGTGTTAGTCTGTATCCTCAAAAAGAACAGGAGTACTTGTGGCACCTTAGAGACTAACAAATTTATTAGAGCATAAGCTTTCATGGGCTACAACCTGCATCCAAAGAAGTGGGTTGTAGCCCACGAAAGCTTATGCTCTAATAAATTTGTTAGTCTCTAAGGTGCCACAAGTACTCCTGTTCTTTTTGTATTAAATGAATGGTTTACATATTATTGTGGGCTGGGATTGTACATAACCTCTTGAGGGGGGAGATGTGACATATGTGACATCTCAGGGTGCAAAGGACTACAACTCAACTATGTGCCAGACAAGAACAGACTTTTGGAACAAAACATGTTCAGTGGTTTTCCTGGGGAATCTCTAGAGGGAGGTGAATGCAAATTCCCCAACTCATTATGCCAAAAACAACCTTTTGAAGCTATGCCCTGTGCAGAGGGTCTTTGCCTGCCGATTACCTTTTACAGAAGGCCAAGATCAAAGGCCTAAGATCAAGAAAGAAATGGCTGCTCTGCTCAGCCATTGTTCTGGTTCTGAATCGGAGCATTCATGGAGGATAGGTCCATCAATGGCTATTAGCCAGGATGGCCGAGGATGGTGTCCTTAGCCTCTGTTTGCCAGAAGCTGGGAATGGACGAAAGGGGATGGATCACTTGATGATTATCTGTTCTGTTCATTCCCTCTAGGGCACCTCGCATTGGCCCCTGTCAGAAGACAAGATACTGGATTAGATGGACCATTGGTCTGACCCAGTATGGCCGTTCTTATGTTCTAGACAGTTATGAGCTTGTAACCACTTGTTTTCTTATTTTATAAGCTCCTCAGGGCAGGGAGCATATCTCCATGTGTATTTTAACAGCACTTAGCACCTCTGGAATATAAATATTAAAAATAATTAACAAGGAGTCTGTAGAGAGAGGAAATAATGCAGCGAATAGATATGTTTTTGTGAACAATGAAAAAGTAACACTGATAGCATCTGAATATATTACGTGCAACTGTCTGAGTGTATTGGAAATCAGATGCCTTCCCTGCTCTTATTATTTCCACCCACCTCTTCCTCTGACCTCCCTTACCCTGTAAGGCTAAATATGATGCCCTTTTATTGGAAATAAGCCCTGCCCTTGTCAGTTTTGGGGAAGATCACTGTAATGTGTGCTCTAGGGGAAGAGAAGAGGAAAATCAATGCCTGACATGCTAGCAGAAAGTGAAACTTGAGGGTCATGGGCAGCAGTGAATCTGTCAGATCTGATTAATTCAGAGTAGAGAGTGGAGGTCTAAAAGTTTTTCTGTGTTACTGCGTGCAAATGCCAGCTCTTTGTAGCAGCATGGAGTAAAAAAGGCATATTAAAACTGAGTGGCACTTGGGTCCTCCAAAATTTTGAGCTTACCTCTCAGAGCTTTAGACCCTCGTCCAGACCAAAACTACTTCTTAGTCTTTTGCCCAAACAGCCTTTTCTTATCTCGTCGCCTCATAACAGCCTTGACTCCCCCCAATCCTTTACCTATGTTACACATTGTCAGTGAATACCTTTACAGAATACAAACTGCATTTTATTATACCACCTTACATACAGTAATCTAAAATGCAGTACCTACAGGCTTCAGACTTGGTGTGATTTTTTACATCTCTGAGGCAGGAGTGCTGGAACTAGGGGTGCTGAAGGTGGCAGCACCCCCTGGCTTGAAGTGATTTCCATCATATACAGGGTTTATAGTTGTGTTCAAGGGCTCACAGTAGCCCCACTATTAAAAACTGTTCCAACATGACTGCTCTGAGATCTACAAAGCAACTCAAATTTGAAGAAATAAGAATAACTGACTTATACAGCACATTTAATTCAGCGGAAGAATGGTCCAATGATTAGGTCCCTAGCCTAGGATTTAGAAGACCCAGATTCAATTCCCTACTCTATCACTAACTTCTTGTGTGACCTTGGGAAAGTCACTTACCTTTCTGTGCCTCAGTTTCCCATCTGTAAAATTGTAACAATATTGCCTTAACTCAGACTGGTGTTAAAGACAGTGAAGCACTTTGTGATCCATGGACGAAAAGCACTATGTAAGACCTTGGTATTATTATATTGTTTTCAAAGAATTTGCAAATATTAACTAATCCTCACAACCCAACCGTAATCCCCTTTTACAGATAGGGAATAAAGCACAGAGAAGTTAAGTGACTGACCCAAGTGTCATACATGAAGTCTGTTGAAAAGCTGAGAACAGAACCCATGATTCTTAGACTGATATCTAATCCACTAGACTGCAGTTCTCCTGCCAATTATGTGACTCTCTTGGTGTCACAGTTTTCTCTTGACAGCTCTACAGAGCATTCACCACGTTGAGGACACATATCCAAAGGAGAGAGTAGAGGAGGTCTGTCGCCCACCAATCACCTCTCACTTTGTTCAACAGATTATGCAGCCTGTGTGATATTTTGGGAAGTAGACCTGCACAATGTGGCATCCTGCTGGTTACTGCTACAACACCAGCCTTCTCACCACCTTCTCTCTGTCAAGTTTTCTCCTCCCAAACTGACTCAGAAGGTGTGCTCACACACAGGGCCAATTCTTCAGAGAGCCTTCAACCCAGCCTCCATTTGGGAGCAATGTGCTATGCAATTTGAACACCATTATTTGTGCATTCCATTGTTTGCATAGCTGTGTATGCAAAAGCAGAAAGCATTTTTTGAAGATTTCACCCACAAGGTAAGTAATACTCTGACTGCTGAATCACATCTTTCTTTTTTTTTTTAAATGCAGTAGGAAATCAAATGCCAGCTTGGCATTAAACAAAAGGGTCATAGATTGGGCCTGGTAAAGTAATACAAACAATACTACTTCCTGACTTTGTTTTTTAAAAGCAACTTTATAGCTAAACAGTAACTTTAGAAGAAAAACAAAACAAGATTCCTAGTGACTTTATATCTTGGAAGGAACTTGAGAAAAAAAAAATCTAATCTTTCCCCCCAAAACTTTGTCCATAAGTGGGTGAAATGGGATTTAGAATCTGAATGTAGATTTGGCTATGATTACAAGTGGTCACTACCTCTATAATGGGCTGAATCAAAACCCAACTCCAAATACGGTTTTGAAATTCAAATTTGGTGGCTTGGGCTGGTCTCTAGTGATAATATTTCATAGAATCATAAAATCATAGAACTGGAAGGAAGGTCATCTAGTCCAGTCTCCTGCACCCAAGGCAGGGCTAAGTATTATCTAGACAATCCCTGACAGGTGTTTGTCCAACCTGCTCTTAAAAATCCCCAATGATGGAGATTCCACCACCTCCCTAGGCAATTTACTCCAGTGCTTAATCACTCTGACTGTTAGGAAGTTTTTCCAAATGTCCAACCTAAACTGCCCTTGCTGCAATTTAAGCCCATTGCTTCTTGTCCTATCCTCAGAGGTTAAAAAGAACATTTTTTCTCCCTCCTCCTTGTAACAGTTTTCAAGTACATAAAAAGTTGGTATGTCCCCTCTCAGTCTTCTCTTTTCCAGACTAAACAATTTTTTCAATCTTCCCTCATAGGTTATGTTTTCTAGACCTTTAATCATTTTTGTTGCTCTTCTCTGGACTTTCTCCAGTTTGTCCACATCTTTCCTGAAATGTGGTGCCCAGAACTGGACACAATACTCCAGCTGAGGCCTAATCAGCATGGAAGAATTACTGATCATGTCTTGCTTACAATACTCCTGCTAATGCATCCCAGAATTATGTTTGCTTTTTTTGCAACAGCATTACACTATTGACTCATATTTAGCTTGTGGTCCACTATGATCTCCAGATCCCTTTCCACAGTACTTCTTCCTAGGCAGTCATTTCCCATTTTGTATGTGTGAAACTGATTGTTCCTTCCTAAGTGGAGTACTTTCCATTTGTCCTTATTGAATCTCATCGTATTTACTTCAGACCATTTCTCCAGTTTGTCCAGATCATTTTGAATTTTAATCCTATCCTCCAAAGTACTTTAAACCCCTCCCAGCTTGGATTCATCTGCAAACTTTATAAGTGTAGTCACTGTGCCATTATATAAATCATTGATGAAAATATTGACCAGAACCGGACCCAGAACTGATCCCTGCAGAACCCCACTCATTATGTCCTTCCAGCAAGACTGTGAACCACTGATAACTACTCTCTGGGAATGATTTTCCAACCAATTATGCACCCACCTTATAGTAGCTCCATATAGGTTGTATTTCCCTAGTTTGTTTATGAAAAGGTCATGTGAGACTGTATCAAAAGCCTTACTAAAGTCAAGATATACCACATCTACTGCTTCCCCCCATGCACAAGGCTTGTTACCCAGTCAAAGAAAGTTATCAGGTTTGTTTGACATGATTTGTTCTTGACAAATCTATGCTGACTCTTATTTATCACCTTATTATCCTCTAGGTGTTTGCAAATTGATTGCTTAATTATTTGCTCCATTATCTTTTGGGGTACAGAAATTAAGTTGACAGATCTGTAATTCCCCAGGTTGTCCTTATTTCCATTTTTATAGATGGGCACTATATTTGCCCTTTTCCAGTCTTCTGGAATCTCTCCTATCTTCCATGACTTTTCAAAGACAATTGCTAATGGCTCAGATATCTCCTCAGTCAGCTCCTTGAGTATTCTAGGATGCATTTAATCAGGCCCTGGTGATTTGAAGACATCTAATTTGTCCAAGTAATTTTTGACTTGTTCTTTCCCTATTTTAGACTCTGGTCCTACCTCATTTTCACTGGCGCTCACTATGTTAGATATCCCATCGCCACCAACTTTCTTGGTGAAAACCAAAACAAAGAAGTCATTAAGCACCTCTGCCATTTCCACATTTTCTGTTATTGTCTTTCCCCCCCTCATTGAGTAACGGGCCTACCCTGTCCTTGGTCTTTCTCTTGCTTCTAATGTATTTGCTGTATTGATTCCTCAGTATGACAGATTCATGGATTCTAAAGCAGAAGGGGCTACTGCGATCCTCAAGTCTGACCTCCTGCATAACAGGCTATACAATTTCACCCAGTGACTCCTGCAGTGGAGAGAATTACAATACCTTACTGCACAAGTGTCTGTGTAAAGAATACCTGCTGGGACATATTTTTCCCCACATAGTTTTAGTTGGCATGGAATGAATGTGGCACATTGCGTCTACAAAATGTTGAGGTGAACTATCATGCCCGAGAGTTAACAACAAGAGCAACAACAATTAAACTAATTCCTATAATTTCAATTGTATTCATTTTCTCCTTTCCATAATTAACAATCCTGGGGTTATTTTGTTCAGTTTCCCAGTCGTGTGAAAATAACTAAACTTAAGTTGAGAGACAAGGTGGCTGAGGTAATACCTTTTATTGGACCAGCTTCTGTTGCTGAAAGAGACAAGTTTTCAAGCTTACACAGAGCTCTTTTTGAGGCCTGGGAAACTAACTCAGAGTGTCACTGCTAAATACAAGGTGGAACAGATTGTTTAGCCTATGCAGTTAACACATATTTCAAGGGGCTATTCAAGGTGCAATGGCCCTTGATTGGTCCCTTGAAATGTGTGTTAATTGTTTATGCGAAACAATCTGTTGCACTTTGTATTTAGCAATGACACTCTGAGGCCTTGGCTACACTGGCGCTGTACAGCGCTGCAACTTGCTGCGTTCAGGGGTGTGAAAATGCCCCTCCCCGAGCGCAGTGAGTACAGCGCTGTAAAGCGCCAGTGTAATCAGACCCTGCAGCACTGCATGCTCACTCGCAGCGCTGCAAGCTATTCCCCTCGGAGAGGTGGAGTACTTACAGCGCTGCGAGAGAGCTCTCGCGGCGCGACTACACTCGCACTTCACAGCGCTGGGAAGTCCTGAGTGTAGCCAAGGCCTGAGTTAGGGCAGGTCTACACTTTAAACACTGCCTTGCCCCAGCTGCATTGGTGCAGCTGCATTGCTGTAGTGCTTTAATGAAGACACTCTATGCTGATGGGAGAGTGCTCTCCTGTCGTTGTAGTTAATCCACCTCCCCGAGAGGCGGTAGCTGTGTCTGTGGGAGCAGCTCTCCCGCTAACATAGCGCTATCTATACCAGCACTTAGGTTGGTATAATATCTTGCTCAGGGGTGTGGACTTTTCAGAACCCTGAGCAAATTTGTTATACCGAAGTAATTCTGTAGAATAGACCTGCCCTTAGTTTCCCAGACCTGAAGAAGAGCTCCGTGTAAGCTCGAAAGCTTGTCTCTCTCACCAACAGAAGTTTGTCCAACAAAAGATATTTCCTCATCCACTTTGTCTCGCTAATATCCTGGGACCAAGACAGCTACAACAACACTGCATAAGCTTAAATTGATTATTTGCCTCCTCTGTACATTACCCAATATTTAAGAAACAGCTTTAACACTATTAATTAAATTTAATGTGCATTAACTTTCTCTTATTAATGTAAACAATCAAAATAGTTTTGGATTTTAACTGCTAAGGCTGTCTGGGAAAAAAGAAGATACAATGCTCCATTTATGGAAACTGAAGTCTTGGAATTAATGTTACTAATTTCATGAAAATAATTAAGCAATAATGACCAAGGCACAGGTTATTTCCGGCCATTAATGATCTGCTCTAGAATTGATGGTCTGTGATGAAGACAAGGGATATTAACCTCGGCCGGTTCTTAATTAATCAGATATTGCCTTGTGCAGACACTATTGCAATCTCTCTCCATTTCTTTAAAATAAAAAAAAAAAAGAACACCATGTATGATGGGGTGGGGGTCCCAATCCAGTGTGGGGCAACTGCACCCCCTCTCTCAAGCTGTTCTTTACCTTGAGGCTGAGACCCCTAAGGAGTAAAGTTGATGGGAATACTCTTTCACAGGGCAGTGAGGCCTACTGGCCAGAGTCAATGGTTTACCCGGATCCGCAGGGAAGTGGGGTTTACCCAGATGCACAGAGCAGCATGGCTTAGCAGCCAGAGTCCAGAGAGTTGCCCCAAGCCGCAGGGTGGGAAGGCTTCGTGGTCGAAGTCAATGGGCTACCACCTGAGGGGTGGGGGGTGGGGGGGGGAAGAGGTGGCGGCTTGGGTAGGAGGACCCAGCCTAGGGCCCACCTTGCTCCACCAGGTCCCAGCCTAGGACCCTAAAAGTGGCGGAATGTTTCACCACTGAGTCAGTGTGGCTCCATCAGAAACACACCAACTTCCCACTGGACTATAACTAGTCCCCCGCCCGGGCCACTTCCTACCATGTCTCTTGGAGCTGTAGTTGAAGCATCATCCGGGTTCCCAGTGACTCTGATGCTGCAGGCTCTTGGGCATTGGTCTGGGTCTCTGTGGCTCCAGCTTCCACGGTCAGGGGTTCCAACTGCTCCCAGGCTGAAGCCAGCCAGCCAGGAGCCTCCTTCCTCCCCAGCAGTCAGTCCAGACTGAGCTGGCTTCTCCCTTTTATACTAGTGCTGCACCTGGATCATGCCCAGTAGGGTCGTGGGGGCATGGCTTCCTCAGCCCACAGTGAGGAGTTAACCCTTCCCTGTCCAGTGTGGGGTGAGTTCACCTCATCACACCATGTAATATGGCTCTCAGAGAACTAGTCATTGCTAGAAAAGTAGCATATAGAAGGGCCAATCTGGTCATGCTCCAAGGTCCTCTTGTGAATTCCTTAGCATCCTGAACTCCCAGTGAGTTCAAATAATTTGCTTAAATGAACTGCCATTGATAGCTGACTGAAAATGCAGATGAGCAAACATCTAAATTTCCAACCCACCAGAATTCAAGGGTGTTCCAATCTAGGGTTTTGCTTGGACCATTTTTCCCATTGTCACCACAGTGTGAGTGAATCTGATGAAGAGATTTGGAGGAGGACAGACTTCACACACTAGTTCATGGGGAGCTTTCTATTAACATGCATTGGCACAGAAGAAAGCACAAAGATGGTTGTGGATTGAGTGGATTAAGCATTGTTGGCTGATGTTGAAGAGTAAGGAGAAGTTTTTATGCATATTTGGCAAGAATGCACAAAGATTAAGTAGTTCCAGGAAGAGATGGCTCAGAAAATGGGTACCATTATTAATTAATATTTTATTTTTTAGATAGGAACATAGAGTAGGTATTTCTGCTGCTGAATGCTGGAGGTCTGATCCTAAGACTGGATGAACAATATTACTCCAATTGAAGTCAATGGGCAGGTTCAGTTCCGTTCAGTATCAGGCCCTAGGAAAGGTATTCCAAAAAATAACAGGTTCCTTTCCTAAAAGTCTTATGTTCTAGCTACATAAGCTGGTACTGCACAGAATGAACATTATATTATTTAGTGCTGACAGACTGCTCAGTACTGTACAGGGATAAAGATAATCCCTACCTTGAAGAATTTATAGTCTAAGGCCCTGATTCAGGAAAGTACTTAAACACATACTTAAAATTAAGCAAATGCTTCAATGGGACTTAAGCACATGCTTAAGCTACCTCTCGAACAGGGATGCATTCCTGAACTGAGGGCTAAAATGGAATCTACAGATGAGGTGAAGGGTGTTCACTGTAACTACCATGTGTCACTAGTGGGTTCACTACTAACGAGCTCCAACTATTAAACCTGCTTGTTTTTCATTTCAGATTCCTGATACAGGGAATACATGGCTTAAAAGTCACCAAACATCCCATTCCACATATTAGCTGCCTCCAAATGGAAACAGCCAGAAACACTGGGTACCGAAATACTGAAAGGCCAAGTTTTGGCCTTGGAAACATTGATGAAAAATAAAAAAGGAAAATACTAGGTAATCTGGCTTCATTTGTCAGGTTTATAGAAGAGGAGTTACCAGTGACCAGAACACCAAAATATTTGAACACTTATTTGTTGCAAATGATTTATTCAATGAATTCAGCCCTTTTATTATATGTGAACTATCTGTGTAATAGCAAACCCTGGATCCTGCCCCGCCCCCAGCCTGTGCAGGGCCCTGCAACAAAAGAGATCAAATTAATGCCTGCCCAGACAACACATTTGAATCAAGAATATTTGGAACTCCAAAAAGTGTTTGAATAGTTTTCCCTCCAACACACTACTCATCCAGCAAGCCAAGTTATGGAAATATGCTGAATAGCTCAAAACCAAATTAACATAATTCCAGAGACCCCCAAAACAGACCAAAATAGGAGAAAGAATTGACCTCTTGATGCTTGACTCCATAAACCTCCCACATAAAAGTGTAAACCAGAAGAGTGATTGGACTCATTTATGTGCTTTATTTACTTATTTTGATTTTATTTTTGATAATCTAACTGATAATCTAACATTGAAATGGCAGGGTATGGTTCAGTGGTCTATTAACAAAAATCATCCACTCCCAGAAAGCCAATTAATTGCTGATGTAACTCCACTGAAGATGAATTTGACCCACTCTGCAAAAGATCATGCCCTGTGGGATGAGAGTCCCACTGGACTAATTGCAAAAGTAAATTGAGCAGATACTGTAGAAGAACAATACTAGTTCCGTTTTGCAATTGTTTTCTGCTTTTGGAAACTTTTTATAAGGAAGCAGAGAGAAAAGATACAATCAGATGTTGTTACATGAGCAATGCTGACACACTGGAGATGTGAAATCACCTCTTTCACTGTGGTCAAAGTTTTAAACCTAACTGATAATCTAACATTGAAATGGCAGGGTATGGTTCAGTGGTCTATTAACAAAAATCATCCACTCCCCAAAAGCCAATCCATAACAAACACTGCATCTCAGCTTATTTCCCCCCCTTCTCTGATCAGGGCTTCTAAATATCTTAACAAGCTGGATTTTATGTATGCACATGGCATCTTGGCCTGATCTGTTTAGTTAGCTGAAGAAGTGCAATTCCTGGCCTGGCATGACAAACCAGGCAATGTTCTACCTAGTCTCTGTTCTGGAGGAATTTTTTTTTCTTCAAGACTCATCTAGTTTGACTGATGTCCAGATTAGTTTTCTAGGGCTTTTCTTTTTTGAAGGCCTGTTTCCCCACTGACAGGGATTTGGGAAAAGAGAGGAAGTGAGAGAAACAGATTGGAGATTTTACGGGCACATGTATTGTTTTGAACCTGCAGAACAGCTGGAGGGGAAGAGGAGAAGGAAGCTCATAGAAAGACTGACCTTCCCACTGTTCTTTGTGGTTTAATTAAGCCTTGCAAAATGTTCATGGGTTTTGTGCCTAAGCACATTCTTTACTAATATGATGATTGCAAGGAAAAATACTGTCAATATTTTACTCACCCACCAAAAAATATGTATTTTCTCTGAGTAGAATTTTGCAGGGTTGGTTAAATTATCTGTACAGGAAATAGATTTCTTCCCCTTAGGTAATTTTTTGTATTACTAATTTTTGTCTTGGTCCAGCTGGGGAGTATTTGTTTCTGTCAGTTCTCTCCTCAAATGTATTAATCTAGTTCTGCTAAATGTATATTTATTAATTAATTGTACTTTGAATGGAAGAGCCTTTCCCCCACATTTAAACTATGAATATCATCATTACATTTTCACCCTGCCTTTTTTTTTAACCCTCGTTGCTCATGGGAACTGGGTTAACATACACAAATATTAATAAGGTGTATTTTGCTATGTAGAACAAATGCAATTCATTTTAGAAAAGAAATTGCAGTAGCCAGATTGTACACAAGATGGCAGATCTGTTTCTCCTTTTCTCTTCATTAATCCTTTAATTTGTCTGATACACTGATGAGGTCTACGCTAAATGATGCAACTGTGGCCTTTGTCACAAAAAACAAAAGTCACCAATTTAACACCAGATAATGAACGAATGCATGAAATTGGATGTATTAGTTCACCAGAATCAATCACCTTGCCTGTTGAGTTCATGTAAATTATTTTCTGCCTATGTACATAACACCCTTCATCTTCCTAGGAGTATGCCAAGAGTTAGTTAGTTATCAAATCACTATTGCTGCTGTGGTTGTAGTCGCCGAGTCTTAATTTTGTAGATGTTTGTTTAAAAAGTTGAAAGACAATGCTGTCTTCTGCAAGGCTTCTTAACTGTTATCGTGTTCAGGAATAATTAAGCCATCATGATCTTTTGATATGAATATGATTTTCAAGAGTTGCAGGGAGGGGGAGCAGGGCAATGGATTAGTAACTGAAGGGAGAAGGACTACAGGTCATTTTAATCCTACTCTTTCAAAAGTTTTCTGTTTTAAGGCCTTGTCTACACTAGAAAATTGTATTGCTTTAACTATACTGGAATAGTTAAAGCAATACAACCCCAGCAGTGTAGAATAAATGTGTCTTATACTGCTATAGCTATTCTTGTACGGGAAGGAATAAATATAAGGCACCTTTACTGATATAGCTGCATCCACAGAGTTTTGTCTTGCAAATCTAAAGGTCAGAGGTGGTTCAGACCTATGTCCTGTTTATCCAGCCTCCCTTACACAAACTCTACCTCCACCCCTAATGCAGTACAGGGAGCTCAGAAAATTAGTACCAGATTTAGCCCATCACTGCTAATAGATACAACAGGAAGCCAAATTTTAACTTGGTTTTGGTCACCACTCCCAAAGCTTACTTAGAAGCTCAGAAACAGAAGTGGGTCAACCCATGAATCTCACCTCTGGGACCAGAACCTGATCCAAGCTTTTCCCACAGTGCTAGGCTGTTTTGACGCCTTACAAAAGTAGGCTTAAGCCCCAATGTTTAGTTCTGTATCCAGATACACCCAGTATTCTGGGGAAGCACCCAACTCCATGGTTCTGCTTCAAGCTCATCTCTCAAGAAAGATTTTGCTGCTTCTGGACAGGCACAGATTTGAGACAATTTTGCACTTTCAGTTTGGTTTTATTACAGAATTTTGAGACATCTGATCATTCATAGGATGGGAAGGGACCTCGAGAAGTCATCTAGTCCATTCCCCTGCACTTATGGCAGGACTAAGTATAACCCAGACCATCCCTAACAGGTGTTTGTCCAACCTGCTCTTAAAAATCTCCAATGATGGAGATTCCACAACCTCCCTAAGCAATTAATTTCAGTGCTTAACCACACTGACAGTTAGGAAGTTTTTCCTAATCTCCAACCTAAACCATCCTTGCTGCAATTTAAGCCCACTGCTTCTTGTCCTATCCTCAGAGATTAAGAAAAACAATTCTTCTCCCTCCTTCTTGTAACAATCTTTTATGTCCCCACTCGGTCTTCTCTTTTCCAGACTAAACAAACCCAATTTTTTCCAATCTTTCCTCATAGGTCATGTTTTCTAGCCCTTTAATCATTTTTGTTGCTCTCCTCTGGACTTTCTCCAATTTGTCCACATCCTTCCTGAAATGTGGCACCCAGAACTGGACACAATACTCCAGTTGAAGCCTAATCAGTGTGTAGTAGAGTGGAAGAATTACTTCTCGTGTCTTGCTTACAACACTTCTGCTAATACATCCAAGAAGGATGTTTGCTTTTTTTGCAGCAGCGTTACACTGTTGACTCATATTTAGCTTGTGGTCCACTATGACCCCCAGATCCCTTTCCGCAGTACTGCTTCCTAGGCAGTCGTTTCCCATTTTGTGTGTGTGCGCAACTGATTGTTCCTCCTAAGTGCAGTGCTTTGCATTTGTCCTTATTGAATTTCATCTTCTTTACTTCAGACCATTTCTCCAGTTTGTCCAGATCATTTTAAATTTTAATCCTATACTCCAAAGCATTTGCAACCCCTCCCAGCTTGGTACTAGCCGCAAACTTTGTGTGTACTCTCTATGCCATTATCTAAATGAAGATATTGAACAGAACTGGACCCAGAACTGATCCCTGGGGGACCCCACTAGTTACGTCCTTCCAGCATGACTGTGAGCTACTGATAACTACTCTCTGGGAACAGTTTTCCAACCAGTTTTGCATCCACCTTATAGTAGCTCCATCTAGGCTGCATTTCCCTAGTTTGTTTATGAGAAGGTCATGTGAGATAGTATCGAAAGCTTTACTAAAGTCAAGATATACCACGTCGACCCCTTCCCCCCATCCACAAGACTTGTTACCCTGTCAAAGAAAACTATCAGGTTGGTTTGACACAATTTGTTCTTGACAAATCCATGCTGACTCTTATTTATCACCTTATTATCCTCTAGGTGTTTGCAAATTGATTGCTTAATTATTTGCTCCATTATCTTTCTGGGTACAGAAATTAAGCTGACTGGTCTGTAATTCCCCGGGTTGTCCTTATTTCCCTTTTTATAGATGGGCACTATATTTGCCCCTTTCCAGTCTTCCGGAATCTCTCGTTTTCCATGACTTTTCAAAGATAATTGCTGATGGCTCAGATATCTCCTCAGTCAGCTCCTTGAGTATTCTAGGATGCATTTCATCAGGCCCTGCATTTGAAGACATCTAATTTGTCTAAGTAATTTTTGACTTGTTCTTTCCCTATTTTAGCCTCTTCTGATCCTACCTCATTTTCACTGGCATTCGCTATGTCAGATGTCCCATCGCCACCAATCTTCTTGGTGAAAACTGAAACAAAGAAGTCATTAAGCACCTCTGCCATTTCCACATTTTCTGCTATTATGACCCCACCGCCCAATTGAGTAAATGGTCTACCCTGTCCTTGGTCTTCCTCTTGCTTCTAATGTATTTGTAGAATGTTTTCTTGTTACCCTTTATGTTTCTAGCTAGTTTGATCGCATTTTGTGCCATGGCCTTTCTAATTTTGTCCCTAGATACTTGCATTATTTGTTAATATTCATCCTTTGTAATTTGACGTAGTTTCCACTTTTTGTAGGACTCTATTTTAGATCATTGAAGATCTCCTGGTTAAGCCAGGGTGGTCTCTTCCCATACTTCCTATCTTTCCTACACAGTGGGATAGTTTGCTCTTGTGCCCTTAATAATGTCTCTTTGAAAAACTGCCAACTGTCCTCAATTGTTTTTCCCCTTAGACTTGCTTCCCCTGGGATCTTACCTGCCAACTCCCTAAATTGCTAAACTCTGCCTTCTTGAAATCTATTGTCTTTGTTGTGCTGTTCTCCCGCCTACCATTCCTTAGAATCACAAATTCTATCATTCCATGATCACTTTCACTCAAGCTGCCTTCCACTTTCAAATTCTCAACCAGTTCCTCCCTATTTGTCAAAATGAAATCTAGAAAGGCCTCTCCCCTAGTAGCTTTCTCCACC